GCTGATGACATCACAGTCCAGCATATCGAAACGACTCAGCAGAAGGGCGATGTGTTTACTAAAGGATTACCGTTGTCCAAATGGGGAAATGCCTTGGAGTTGTTGCAGTTCTCCCTGAGTCCGCTCCCGTCTTATGATGCAGGCAGGAGCTCGCATGACTAGAGCTAAGCAATAGTCAGCCGCAGTTCAAAGCTAAGCTAGATCTACAATGAATGAAATGGTTAAAGCTAAGCGATAACCAGCAGCAGCTCGAAACTAAGTTAGATCTGCCTCGAATGAAAGTCTAGACAATGCATGCCGCACAGTGCTACTGCCGAGCGTGGCGCCAAGCTTGCATGAAGGGTGACTGGCTGCTTGAAGCGCCGCTCCCAAGCTGCCGTTCGTAAGCCTGTAAAGTTAGCTTGCAGTCTTTCGATAGGAATTGTCAGGTCACAGACGGTTCAATCAATGAAGCGACTGTCTCAGACCTGGAATACTAGCTGTACATATGTTCATCTCACTATGAGGGGGGACTTGAAGGTTCCCGTGTAAAGTGCACCTCATATGTATAGGCACAGTTCATGAACATTGTACTTTTGGCTCAAGTGATCAAAAGGCCGCAGCCGCTGCCACTTCGCGGACACGGCGGTCTTTACTGTGAGTTGGTTTCTTGGTGTTGTTTGTGTTGGTGTTCCGTTTTCCAACGGTTCAAGTGTAACAGGTGCCTTGCTAGTAGTAACAAGTGCCACGCTACTAGGAACAAGTGCTATATCATGGTCTCTCAAGAATTCAGTGTCACATCTTGCAATAATTCAGTGTTTCTGTCGCACCATGTGACGCAATGTGCTTCTTTTTGTTGAAACATGTTTCAACCAATGGGCGATCACATGTCGGCCAGCTGTTGACAGTATCCAGATCATTGGGATTGAACAGAAGCGACATCGTTGGTTTCATAAGGCTCGTGAACAAGGCCCCGCAACCGAGAACAGCCGTGTGATCTTGCGCACGAGAACAGCCGTCCTTTTTGACCAAGCTTTACGCTACCTTCTCACCTTCTCCCCAAGCGGACGTACAGCCGCCCTTGCCCGTTTTCACCCCTTGATCCCGCTTTGCCTGGATGGGGTGTCCCGCTGGAACATCTCAAGGTGGGGCACTGGCGCGGCCAGCACAAAGGCAGGGCTGTTTCTGCATGAAAACCACCCTGGTCGTGAAAGCAAGCTCGTGGGGAGTTGAAGATCCAGGTGAAGTGGAGTTCTTTTGGAATAGAATGAAATGAACGAGGATTACAGGATTGGTTTTCAGTGCCAATCAACCTCATGGTCATGACATTCTGTGCAAAGGCCTTTTTGTACTGCCAATGAGGTGGCAGCTGGTATGTCATTGGTTTCTGCTTTAGAGTGCGGGCGACAGGCGTGTGTTTGGTTTTGTTCACTTTACACAGGCTGGGGCGATCTGTCGACTCCGCTGGGCTGTGTTCCACGAGTCCACGATCTTCTGCTGATTCGAGTGGCAGTGTTCGGTCATGTTATGTCATGTTCCACGCATAAAAACCGGGGTCAGGCGGGTCAGGCCACATCTTCTCCGCTGAAAAATACTTTATTTGAGGCTCTTTGTATCTCCTTGACGACCGGTGATCACCCCCCCAAATGGAATGGTTTAGTGGTGATCTACGGCTACGGCTACGGCACGACCAGCCAGCATCAATCATTTTCTACCGAGGTTTGGCCGTAGCCGTAGCACAAACATATCAAAAACATACTAAATATATAGCCGCTTCGCAAGGCCATCCAAGGCCCTTTTTGTGATGCACCAAAGATGCAGCTTTCTTGTTCAGTTTGCACGACTGCCTCGTTTGGAAGCTAAATGAATCGTTTGATCTTTGGGTTGCCAAGGATTTGCAGCGACAAGCAGCTAGCAGCTAGTTGTTGGTAGGATCTGGTAGGGGATTTAAGAAAGCCCAAAGCAACTGTTGGATGAATGAACCCTTTATTTAGGCCTCATCATTCACCATGGCGTACCAATCACCGCGGCGCTGTTCTCTTCTGGGGGGCGTTTATTCGGTGAATTTGAGTGACCATGTGGCTGTGAGTCATGGCACCTCTCTCACCAAACCATGGCAGATTGACACGTATTGTACATTCATGTAGACATTGCTGTACGTTGAAATAAGAATAGCACACATAACAAATCAACTAGGTCTAATTACAATGGTCTAAAGGATTCTAAAGGTATTTGTTTAGAACAAAATAAGAAATACCTGGGGCCTCGGATGGTGGTTCAACTGCTTCGTTCCAGCCTGGATGCCTGATGCCTGATCGTCAGGCAGCTCAGCTCATGGAAGTGGTGGAGGAGGGCCATGAAGAGACTGGTCAAGATCCGGCAGATTCACAGGCTTTTCCTGCTGTGTCATGTGGATCTTGTGGTCGAGAAGTGTGATTATTTTTAGACGTCACTCGCCTTAGCTTTCTCATGAGCGATCGATCGGAGTCGATTTCGATCGACTGGGGTCTGTCTGGGACCTACGGTTTGGAGCCCTCGATTTAACAGGGTCGCAGGCCCCACCACGTCAAGGTCCACCATGCCAGGCCGGGTGGTTCTTACCGCGATGGACGCCCTTCGGGACTTCTTCTCCTGAGGAGGCGCCGGTGCCGAGTTCGGAACACCCACGGCCGTGGAACGGGGTTCTTTCACCGAGGAACGACTGTTTTCTCAGCCACCGAACGTATGGGCCATATGAATGGCTATGGCCGAGCAGATGAATGCGGACTGGTCAGTATACTGTATGTTCGGACTTACTTGACTCTGTAACTACCGGTGTCAAGTACAGTAACTGTTATTGAATCATGTGCCGTTTCAACACTGTCCGTGTCCTGTTTGTGTCTTGGGACTTGTTGCATCCCGTAGGTGTTGGGCATACGGGTGTGCGCAATAATTCCCAAAGTATATAATACTGCATACGTTGCTTGGTTTTAATATGTTCAATTTTCAATTGGGCCCGTTCGACATCCTTAATGCAACTTAAGTGTAGGAAAGCGGAGAATCAATCATATTTTAAACGATCAAGTTTTGGAAAGGCAATGGGATGATAATGCAAGATGCAAGATAGATTTGCTTGCCAACTTTTGAATATTTGATGCGAGTTGAATGATTTGAACGGAAACTTCTATAATAAAGGAGACTTGTCGAGACTTGTAAGACCTGACAATTCTAGGAAACCATACCCTTTAAGAATAGATGTACCCCTATGAAGCCCTATTGATGAAAGAGAGCCGACTAATATGGGGTTTGATAGTATGTTTTTTGTTTTAACAATTTAGTGTCATGGAGTCATGGGTTTCATTGCACGATTGGAGGTCAGCACCAGTTCTTATTTGGTAGTTCCTGCAGTCTCTTCTTAGTCTTTTTTGGTCAATTAGCCTTTGTACATCTTGCCTAGTTTTTTTCATCCCTAGTTATTGCCATTCTTAAGAGTTCTGAGACACAATCAAGCAAAGGCATCACTACTAGACCAGATGCAAGAATTTGTGTTTATCGTGGCAATACTGTCTACACATTTGTTTCAGAGCCAGAGCTGTTTAATTACTCACTTACCTAGCAGAAAGCAGTGGCTCTTTCCTTCTTGGCTCGTTTGTCATTTTGATAGCTCCCTCGTGTTATTAATGTTTTTGCTGATACAACTCATTTATTTACAATATTGTGGTTTCTTCTCCTCTCTCTCTCTCTCCCCTCAATAACGATAGACAAATCCTCATTTTGTAGGCTTTTATGTTGCTCCAAGAGGTTCAATGTTGGTGAAACCCAAAAGGTTGGCCTTCATCCTGGCCTTCATAATCATATGAATATGTGGATTTGGACAGAACATGGCATCCTTAGCACCTTTCTAGCAGGAACCCTTCACACATCAGCAGTTTATTTGTTTGAGGCTGAGGTTCCCAACGGTTCTTGAGAAATCAGTCTTCAGAAAACTGCCCTTTGGACACAGATTCAGATGAAGAACCAAGCTCTGATCAATTGGTTTATCTACAGAAGAGGCTTGTACGATAGAGGCGGTTTCTGGAAAAGATTGGACGATTGTATCAGTTCAATTTCACTGTGGATAACAGGTTGCAAGCTGGCAATGTTGCAGACAGTTGAAAACAGATTCCAAATGCAAAGGCCAAACCAAAGTTAAAACAATGTCATGAACAAACAGTGTTCAGTAAGTCTTTGGTGGGGGGGAGTACCTGAACTGGAAGAGCTGCTGCACATTGTTTATTGCTTTTGTACTGAGGACTGAGGTCTTTAAAGATTTTGGTTTGGGCCTCTCTTATGTGTTTTTCTTCGTTTGCCCCATTGCAGCCCCATTATTATTGGGGATCGGCTTCCAATTCTGTTGAATGCAGATGAGAAGAGATTAATCTGAAACGCTGCAATTAGACCCATCAAGTGAATGAATAGTGGAAACCACCATCAACCCTTCAATACTTACCCACTCAGTCAGTGGATAACCTTCAAAACCTTTTCGGGGAATTGGCTTCTCCGCTAAATATGAACAGTTGTGAAAAAGGTCTGTATAAACCTGTGTTTTCCCGACTGAAGAGGTCGGAATAGCCATTTGGGTGGATGTGGACTCCGATGTTTTTCACATGCAGCCCCACCAGTCACTAAGCCGCTTAGCCCAAGAAGTCAGCTCATCCAGGAGTCTTTGGAGAGCTTGGAAGAGACCGGTTGGTCTGGATTGCTGCGTTCTCAGAGGGGGCGAGGCATTTGAAACCCTGTGCCGGCGGAGGGTGGGGGGATTTGATTCAGCCCACTCACTCGGGTGCTTTGTGATGCTCAGTGGCTGAATATAGGGAGGCTGGTGAACCAATTTCTCTTGAGGCTGTTTGCATGTTAAAAACTAGCCTCTTGAAGAAGCCGCCTCAACATCACATGATTCCGAGGTTCAATTCTTTACACAGCCTTTTTGGCTAAAAAGCTGCAGCTTATCCGACTCTGAAAGCAGAGGATCGGTGTTTCTTTTTTTGCCTTAATTTCATCCCATGGAATCAGTTCAGGATCCTCAGGACCCATTTGCAGTGCTGTCAGAGGAGGACAAAAGTTTCCTTGTTTGTGTAGTTGCTTTGGTCCTTCTGGCTCTTGGGATAACCCTTCGAGCTACTAGACATCATTGGTCGCACCCATCACTGACATTTTGCAAATGCTATGAGAGGCTGAGGCATTTGCGAAACAAAGAAGGAGAGGATTTGAGATGGAACACATATTTGCTCCAAGAGGTTTGTGAGCAAAAGGTCGTTTTAGCACGGATCTATGGGCGCTATGCAGCTTGCGTCTTGATCTTCTCATCACTCATCCGTGTCCAAAGGATGTTGTCGAGAGACCCTCCGTGGTTGAGCTCAGAGGGAGCTTGGTTTGGGCTGGTTGTGGCATTCTTAGCCACTTTGATGTCCCAAGTTCCACAAGCCACACAAAGGTACTCCTTGGATGTGATTTGTTTCCTGTGGTATTTGGTGGCAGCATTTCATTTGTCCTCGTGGGTCGTCGCAGTGGAACAGCTCTTGCTGATGGAGCTCTTAATGTTTATGATTGTGCACATTCCTGTTTGCACCTTCGCGAAGCATTACAGTGTGATCCTTTTGTGTCAGGGAGGAATCATGGCATTTGTAGTAGCCCGCGCTATGATGGAGGACCTCCAAAGAATTCAGAGCCTTGGGCAGAAGAGGGCATTTCCCTAACACTTGCTTGGAGGGAGTCTATATGGAAATCTAGATTCTGTGTCGTTTGTTGTTTGTTTCTCGCAGATCAAGACAAGTCAAGGATAACAAACAAAAGTTCAATGGTGGTCTTCAACATCTTGTTGCTGGGCTATGCGTTGCTGGTTCATTCCCTCTCGAACTCCTTCCTGCAGCAGACTGTGGAACTCCGTGTCCGCGGGGCAGACAGCAAAATCCAAGGGAATGCTACCTCCTCTCTGTTAGAGCTCACCTGCGATGCTAGGAGGATCTATAGAGGATTTTGTGTTGTTTTTTTGTTGGACATCGGACATGTCCCTATTTGTGTGTGGTTTAGGGCCTTACGGCCTCTACATGCGACAGACAAGGAACAAAAGAGACCAATCGCCCTTCTTTTGAGACAAACACAAAGCTCATGAAAGTTGTTTGTGGTTGTTTATAGAGACAAGCTCACGAATACTCATGCTCATCAGGATCGGATTGTTTTTCTGCTATTTCCGCCCCGGTTTCTCTCAGTGCAAGGATGCTGTGGTGCATCTGGATTCCGAGCTTCGAATCACTTCCGACGCCCGCGATGCGTTGGCTGCGATGCTCTTTCGCAATCCGGAGGCACTCAGAGGCAGGATAAATGGTCTTTGGTCGCCAAAAAAGCTGCGTATATCAATCCTTAATCTGGTTAGTGGTGTCCATTTGTTTTTGTCAATCTTTGACTATCAAAATGACCATGAGCATTCAGCTGGGTTGAAGGTTCCAGCCAGTTAAGGACAGCCCTTCCGCCCACCTGATCACCTCGATTGAGACAGTGAGACAGCACTTGGGCACACGAACGCTGGTTTTAGCCATTCGATATCATTTGATCTATCCAATCTGGACTTCGGACCTGCTTATAGCGGTTTAGGAGTTTGAGAGATTGCTATAGATACGGTTATTCCTTCCTTCTACGGAAATCCGGGTCCGACTCTAGAACTATTTTTGTTTGGGATTTTGGGAGCACAAGAATTATAGACCCCTTGCCTTTTTCATCCACTGAACCCATCTCCAGCCGCCAGTGTAGCCCTGAGAGGCACCAAATTCACCGAGTTGATTGCCACTGCTGAAGCTCGCTCTCGGGCGGCAGAGATTTTGAATGAAGAAGCTGAGGCTCGAGCACACGCCTTCCATACGCAGCTGGTGGATGGCTGTTTCACTCGGTTCAGGACAGAGGCACGGAAGCAAGGTAGTTTAAGGCTTAAGGTAGGGCCAATCTGCACGAACCCATAGACATCTCATAAACCTTTAGGACTTTTGAAGATTCACAGACCTACCTATAGTTTCACAGTGTTCCACACAGCTTTTTTGGGTTATATAAATGTCAGAGTCATTCAGAGGTTGGACATGAAAGAAAGCATGGGTCTGAGATTTGCGTCCGCTTCCCAGCTTCGCACTTGGCATGCTCTCTGGAGGTGTTTCAAGTGAAGTACTCCAAGATGAACGGAGAGAAATGTCACCTCTTGGGACTGCGTGACTTCACCGATGTGAAACCCTTGTCTCAGCATGCCACCGATGCGGCTTCGCCCGTGGAACGAGAAGTCGTAGACGGAAGTTCACAAGCTCTCAGTAGCTCGGTTTTGTGTTTAGACACTTGGCGTGATCTCTCCTTGATCATGTTGCATGTTGTCAGTTCCAAGCATGTTCATCAAGAAACCAACAAATGCATGGATCCAGTTGCCCACCAAGAAAGTGAAGGGACCAGGATGTGTGTGTGTGTGTTTTTCTTTTCTCAGGTTGTGAGATGTCTATATGGTACTGAGTGGCCTTGGGTCATCTTGGGTCCATTGGTTTCTTTTGGTACTTAGTTCAATGTTGTAGTTGTAGTTCAAATAGACCGCCCAGAGACGTCCTTAGTTCAAGTAGTCATATGCTATGGATTGCTATGGTCGATTCTCTTCGGTCTTAGCGTGGCAACCTATTCATTCGGAATACCTCTATCACACCCAAGGTGGAACACTTGTCCTTTGCAAACAGGCTATTTGTCACGTCATGTCACGTCCTACGTTTCTTTCATAGTTTCTTGAAACCTATCGTCACGGTGTCACAACGGTGTCATGGCTACCAATGACATCCATCATCACGGGCGTGTTTGAAAATGGTCTCTAGCACCGGTCTTGCTGGTCCTTGTTCTACCAGGAATCAAGCTGGATGATTGCCACCTAGCTGCCATCCTGCCAACCTTGAGACTGCAACGCATTCAGAGCACCCGCAGGAACGCCCAAAAACCATTGTGTTTTTTCTTCCTGGTTTTGGCAAAATCCAAGTAAGGTTATGAAATGGGCAGCTTGGACCTTGAATCTCGAAGTGATTCTTCGATGCCACAACTTCTTCTTGACCCCCGACTACCGGCAAGCAGCCCAAGCAGCCCGCTGGGCAGCCCGCTGGACACGGGATTGGTGCACAGTCGAGTACTTCCCAATGGGATCATCGAACACTGTGTGCAGATTCACGACAAGTTGACCTTTTTGGATATCAACGTGGATCAGAAGGTGATCAGTGCAGCCTCTGCTCCATGTGTTGACTTGGTGGGCAAGAAGCTGGAGGATGTTTTCCCAAATGATTTCACATTACAGATTGTTCGCAACATGTGCGATGAAGCCAAAGGCTTCATGGACACCTCGCTTGTTCCCAGGGCGTTGCCTGATAAAGTGGCGGCATTCAACGAGATGCCCATGTTCTTAGGCACACGTGTAGTCGGGGTGTCTGGAATTATGCGAGTGTTGCTCACCGAAGCCGGACACTTCCGAGTGGTACTCAGCTTTCCGTGGCCCAAGGCGGCAAATTCAGTGTCACTCTAAGGCAAAACCGGTGGCAGGAAGGGAAAAAGCGACCCCTGCACAATTGAATCATCGTAGTCACAGAAACTGTACTAGCGGGAGTCAAATACATTTGACAATAGAAGTTGAGCACGAATGTTTCAGACAAGGAATCATTGAATCAAGTAACCAAGTATATAATATATAATATATAATATATATTACAATCAAGGTGATTGCGCAGATTGGCAACTCCAACCACACCAGGACCACCCTTGGAAGAAACAGCTTGTGTGTGTGCGTGCACGTGTGGATGTTCTTTACCTACTGCGACTCTATGACATTGTTTGCTTGGAGGATTGCAATTCGAGACAGGACCGAGCCATCTTATTTTATGACCCATATCAACCAGAGGTATCCTCAGCGCTGTGACAAGTATCCTCAGTCTCTTCTTCCCTTGGCCGGCCGCAACGGCTCAGGCTGTCCGTGGGCATCCTGGGGAGCACTGGGGTTGCACAACTGCCTCCTGGAGGTCGCGGAGGGTCAGGTGTCCTCAGGTGGTCAGGTCACGTCGTATCACCGCACCGCCGTCTAGACACCAGAAAAGAGATGCTCTCCCTGTATCATGATTGCACTAGATCACTAGATCAAGCAAGTGCGTGAATCTCTCCTTTTTTTTGCTTCATGTATACTTGCAAGTTCATGATTCAGCTTCGTGGATCTTGCACTAAATACCACTAATCCGACTAGTCCACTAGAATCAATTGTATAAAGGATTGGTGAAGGCATCCATGGGTGATCAATCAGGCACCTCATGAATGAAACGCCCTTCCTAACACCTCTGAGCGCACAGGAAGGTCAAAGTTGTGATATGCATAATATCTTAACTCAGTGAACCGTCCACATCAGCTCATCTTGAGTGGAGATTCCTTGGGAGAGTCCTGGAATCTCACTCTCATTGAACCGTCTCAGAGATGTGAAATCAATGGTTGGTGCCTCTATTGGACCCTATTGGATGGCTTGTAAGATGTTCACCCTGTAGAAATGTATGACTACCAGACAGATGTGTATGATCCATGTAAAGCTCACGAAGAAGTCAAAGACAGCCCAGACATGCCCAGACTCTACTCTACCAGATGTAAAGAGCAGTCGTGATTTTGGGAATTAATGTTAGATCAGTATTTGTGGGGTGGTATATAAAATATAGTATCTAAATGTTTCAGAAAATCCAGATCAAATTTGATTTAGTATTCGACCAAAAAAGGGCCCGTAATTAACCCAGGTCCACTAGAAATCCCACAGATTCTTGCACAGACAACCTGACTGCAGAGAGGGGATCCACAATTATAGCACCTCTCTCTAATGTGGCTCCTGCCTTGCTTGAGAATGCTTTCCTATACATGTCACTTTGAACAAAAGAAGGCACAATAACTGAAAAATCTAACATCTTCCAATGTCCAAAACGGTCGATTTCTAATTGAAACCCTTAGCGTTCAACGTCCCCTTCGTTGATCGTTCGGATCGGCTCGTCCCCCGGAATGAACGAGCGTTGGTCCTTCGAATCAGCGGATCAATCTGTGGGTGGGACCTGTGTGAGTGTGATTCGCTACTAGGGTGGAGGCCATTACTACTGGTAGCTAAGAAGCCTGGGACAGCTGCCTGCAGGTTTGCTTTAAGTCCTATGGGCGACGTGGCGATGCACATGTCCGAAGTAGGCACCCAAGGAAGCTTCTAGTTACTAGAAAGTTTTATTACTAAGAAGATAAAAGCTTATTGTTACTAGTAGTAATGGCTTCCACCCCAATAGCGATGGACTCCAACCTAGTAGCTTCTTGTTACTAAGAAGCTTCAAAGACATACTAGAAAGCTATTAGTTAAGACAGGTGAAACGATTCCCAGTGAAACGATTCCCAAGGAAGCTTCTGGTTGCAATTCGATTGAAGGTTTGTTCTCCAGCAACGCCACTGCAGCAGAAGTCGGTGTGGGAGCCCTGCGGGCACAGGTGGTGCTTCTTGGCGTGGCGGATATAACTACATGCAGTTACGGATCCACTCAACATGAATAGACGTCATTGGTTCATGGAGTTTTGGGTCTTTTGGGACGTTGGGAACTTGACTTGATGGAACTTGATCTTTTTGGAGTACACGCTGCGTTAATCTTGGTCATTTGAAGCCCGCCTTGAGAAAAGAACAACTCCACCAGAAATGCGATTTGCGCTTCGGAACATCAATCCCGAAAGTGTTGTTTCCTATTTGTCCACTGCATTCGCGTGTCATTCGTGCAGAGCGCGAACGCGAATCCGAATGCGGCGCGTGTCGGCAGGTGTCTCAGTGGCCGGGCTTCCGGCGCCCTTTGAACGAACCAAACTGGTCACAGTAGCCCCTTGGTTTCAATCTGAGCGGCTGCGAATACAAGTGAGAACAGCCGACCTGAAAGAGGCTGCCTGGGTGGTGCAGCAGCGTTGCTGTTGGGTTTCAATCAATATAGCAAAGGGGCGATGATATGAGCAACGGAGGGATAACACGAATGCAGAACTTGTTCAAGGGCGGCAGACAAGGGGTCAAATCACCGCTGCAGGTAATTATGTTTGTTAGTGTCATTCTGACAGATGGTGCCGACCAGGCTTGGTCCTCAGTTGTTCCAAGATTTGAGTTCGTATTTGAATATGGCAGCGGCACCGACATTTTTTTCTGTGATGATGTACACGCTGTACACGTATTATGACCCTTGGCAAAAAAAGAACAACGTATAACAGCATCGACCCTGAAAATGCCTGGAATGACTTTCATTGTCCACGCTAGACTGGGAGGCTACAAATTTTACTGAAGGTTCTGAACATTGGACGGGGTTTTGAGTGAACGACATTGATGATCATGTTGCAGGTGCCAAAAGTTCAAGATATGCCCATGTGTTTGACCAAGGCATGGTAATGTGAGTTTACGATCTATTGCGAATCAATGTGAATGGTGTCCTACTCCGCGGTGACGCAATTAGAGGATATGCCTGCTTAGTACCATTTCTACCGAGCCAGAGGTTTGTCAAACTCCTCCTTGCTGGTTTTGTTGTTGTTCTTCTTCTTTCTGACCACCAATCAATGCATCCAAGTATAGATAAATTTTGATAAACTATGATATCTGATATCTTACAAATATACCTGGACTATTTAATGGGTGTCCAATGGAGATCCCTAAGTTGTGTAGAGTAGTCCTGGTATATATATGTATATGTATCATAGATTCGCTAGATTACCCTAGGCTTCCAACCACCATGAATCTACAGTATGTGCCTTTACCAAACAACCAATTGTTTACTTATTATGTTTAGATTATTTTACTGTACACTACAACACCAGGTCAACGAATTGTTCAATGGTCTTCGAAGCCTAGGGTGTGTGTATATATATATACATACCGTATATGTTGGGTTGAACTAGCGTGTTAAGGGCTACCACGAACAGCGGGGGAACAGAGCGGTCTACATAGATCAACTGATCGGTCCCAGCCCTGCGCTACTGAGGTGCCAAGATACCTAGTCCCGCTCCCAGCGATGTGATTGAGCTGAGGTGAACTGTGAGTGAGTTTCGTACAGACTCCGCTGAGGACATGTGATATGTATATTCGGCATCCGCAATGGAATTGGAACGTGGATGCTGGGTGAAGACTTTGCCCCCAAATCTGTGGTTTGCTGGCCGGATCCCCGATTTTAGAGGGCATAGAACAGTAAGAACACATGGCTGTTGAAATCAAAACCTTTGCGTAGCAGGAGAAATGGTACTAGAGAAATGGCAGCTGCGGGTCATGCCATACATGAACATGCCCACTCCGGTGGCAGGAATCTCCAGTGTAGATCCACACTGGACTGCTTTCTGTTGGTGATCCTCTTCATTGCCTTGTTTCTTGCATCCAGCGAAGCGCTTCGCTTGGCCGCCCCCTTCAGCCATCCTCCAACAACACACAAAATAGAAACACCAACTGGAAGTGGGTGATAAATATGTTTGGAGATGTTTGGAGATATTTGGATTCTGCAGCAGATATTTGGAGATGATTTCACAATGGTGAGATTTTGTTTCGAATCGCTTGATGATATTCAGTCATGTCCTCCGAACATTTGCCCCAGCAATTTGGGCTACCGGTTAGGGGTCTTTGTTCCATCAATTGGTAGCATGATGTAGCATGTTGAGATGGATTTGTGAGAGTTTGTGAGGCATTCCAAGGTGATGTTTACCGCCATAGTTTGATGTGTTTGCTTTGGCCGATCTCGAATAAGGTTGATAGTCACACCGGTTTTCGCAGTACTCTTACTAGATTTGCTCTTGTGCCATCATTTTTCAATATGTTTGTCCCTGCTCTGGAGGGTCGGGGCTGAAAGGACACCAAGAAAGGCTTCATCTTCATCTTCTTCGGGTCCCTGTGGGACCTCCAAGCCACTTCGCGCACAAGGTCCGCAATGAGCTCCCCTTCGCCCTGGAGCTTTGGCCGAGTCAGATGGCCCGGAGATGCCCTGAGTACAGAAGCCCTTTCGATTCCTGAGACGAAGAGACCGAAACCGGTCCCTTCCGGGAACCGGTCCGGAACCGGTCGAACAACTCTTCCACCGGTCGAAGGTGTCATGTTCGCTTCCCTTGTTCCCCATGAATTGCTTACACACCCGCTCCTCGTTTTGAGTGTTTCTTCCCAGAATGGCCCAGACACCTTACAGAGCGGAGCTATTGGCTTTGTTGCCGCAGAAGATGGACTTCGCCGGCGTCATATCGACGTCGCCACGGATCGTCACTATCAATCACTCCCTAGGGATCCAGTCGTACCGAACCCTCAGGTTCGGTACGACTGGACCCGACAAGGGCACCTACATAGCAGTGTCGAACACATCACCGTACCTGAGAAGGTACTTGCATCCTTAGGGACTCATGTTTGGCTTTCACATGCTTTCACTATTTACAAACTGGGACCTTCCGGCATACCGACCACATCGGCCATTGCTCGTGCTGCTTTTGCAAAATTGAGGGCCGAATCCAAGGTTAAGGGGCATGCGAACGGAGTGTG